ATTGATTATTTGAATAGTTTTATTTTTTCTATTTTTTTATCCTGTAAAATATATATATTTAAAAAACCAATTTTATCAAATTTTCAATTGAAAAGAACCATGATAAACTTCTAAGAAAACATACCTAGATTAAGTTTATCTTTCTAATAAAATATAGATGATATAGGAAATGTAGTAATAGTACTCAGTATAATTTGTCCAATACATGTATATACCACTATGTACAAATATTACATTAGTAAAATATTAGAATATAGTATTAGTATTTAGTATAGTACTACTAGTACTTAGTACTTGGGTGCCTATGAATTGTATTTTGACATAAAATATTGTGTATATATAATATAATATAATTTTATTATGTGTATATTATATTATTATGTCATAATATTATGATAATCACAATAAACATATTTAAAGTTTTAACTTTACGAACAGGCACCAGCAATAAAGATAAACGTTATTTAATTATTAAGAAATTGAAATTTTTCAACATCTATTAAATATATATTTTCAATTACATTTATATTTTACATGGGTCATATTATTTGTCGATATGTTAAGCAGAACCTATAGCTAGTGGCAGGCAAGTGCAGGAGAGTATTATGAACTTAGGTATGTGTTTTTGATTTCTTAGGAAAGTGTTATAAATATAATATACAAACGCTTAATGAAGTTCTAACTCATTCAGTTACTCCAGCAGTGGCACATTTAGGGATAAGCGCCCTAGGGCAACATTTTATATATACACCCCCCCCCCCCCCCCCCCCCCGAAGGATTTTGAAGTTAATTTTCGTCAACATTTAAAAACAAATGAATGATCATTGATCACACATTCTTACGTATATAATAATGGGTTAGTTATTTTGTGTAGGTACCTAATTCAAAAAAATATTTATCGCAGACTTGAAACGTCTCAGCCAGGGAGATTAGAGATTTAATGTGATTATTTTCCATAGGTAGGTATAAGATCTATCGTTTATATTATTTTCTATGGACATTACCCAGCGATAAGCAAACCAGTTTTTTGTGTTTTCATCAAAATATGTCCAAAGTTAAGAAAATACGACAAATCCTAAAAGTAATCATTGTAGTATTGTGTTCACACGGGTTTGTACTTTGTACCTATTATAATTTATATCATATAATATTTCAACTGAAGCAAAAAAAAAAAAATGAAAGAAAGGTAGATTAATTTTAAGTTTTAACCCAAGCAGAGTCGTATTATATACAAATATCTTAGCATTCCTAGCCCCTAGGTGACGACTGCAATTTCCTCGAATTTCTCTACAATAATTCTCATTTATTATTTTTCTTATTTTGTGGTTGGATTAGATAGATTATTATTATTATTTTACGCGTTAACAACTCCCCTCCATAAAGCAGTAACCATTTTAAGAAAATTCCAATTTTCAGATTTTTTTTATAGGTCAGTAACAAAAGTTTAAAATTTAAAAGTCTCCAATGTAACATATTTTCATATTATATGCTCAATTTTTTACTTTGTAAAAGTTATCTTGGCTTAATCAATGTTTCAAATTTCAAAAGTAAAAAAATCTAGGAAGCAGAGATATGAGGATGAGAAAAACTTGGTGAATTGGTTAGTGTAAAGTTGTACAGCAATCACTTTCAACTTGCCGTCTTGACCTGACGTATTTCTATAGTGCCATGCGCTCTATATATACCTAACGTTATCGTCTCCTCCTAGAATCATTTTTTGTAGGTACCCAATACATAATGATTTTACACAGCCATTACAATTTATACTGTCTCAATTCGAGGTACACTGAAAATCTACTACCTACACAGCACAACGGGTGTTTTTTTTAAATTGTATTATTAGGCTATCCGCTATCAGCGCAACACTATAAAATAGGTATAGACTCGTATGCACTACTCGTTTGCAATCTTTATTTCTGTTAGAGAGAATAGAAAAGATTTCTTTTTTTTTTTTTTTTTTTTTTTTTTTTTTTATTGGATAACCCGCGGCAACATAGGCCATTGGGTGTTGGTAGGGAACTGTAGGTTTTTAGATTGGGTAGGTTGGTACACGTGTGTGTTTGTGGTGGCAGAATTTTTATTGGGGCACCCGTAGGTTTCTGCCATGCCCCGGGTTGGGGGATGGCGGCACTTGTACTCCGGACACCGTGACTTGCCCGGAGAAAAATGCCGCCCAGTGGTCGAGAGGCGAACCCGCTACTGCCAGCGCCGCAGTCGACGCGTTAGACCGCTCGGCCACCTCGTCCCCCGAAAAGATTTCTGTTTAGGGTCGTAAACTGCAGACTGCAGTCTGTAATAAACTAATAAATAACTACCGTAAGTACAAAAATAAATTAATATGTTAAACAGCCTCCCCTCCCCCCATGCCTTAAATCGTATTATTTTTAAATATTTATCAAGTTTCAACTGTTTAGCCAACTAGTAAACAAGTCATAAATTCATAAACGTTTTAACGAATTAGCTACATCTAATACATAAATACAAATGGGACGGTGGGAACTGCACTGCTGTATAGTACCTAGGTGTCGAGTGGGTCACTGTAATGGATGTGTTAAAATTTGAATTAAATGATACCTATATATATCAATATATCATTGTGTAGTGTATACGAAAAACGAATCTGAGTGATAGAGGTGTGTCAGCCCAGGATAATATCCTACAATATGGTGTATTGATTCAGTAATTTTCCTATACCGAGCTATGGGTTATCCATTTTCTTTTTCAAATACCACTAAATTTTATTTTAATGTTGCCCATGAGTATTATAAATCGCAATGTTATAGTGGTCAAAAAATGTACATAATATAAATGGTAAATGATAATTCCTTCTATATAATAACTAATAGGCAATAAATTAATACGTAATAACACTAATAGGTTTGTTACTTTGGTTGGAAATAACCAGCAAGAGTGATCGAAATAAAAACTAGTTTCAACGTTTGAGACGGTAAAACACGTTTTAAACATGGCCTAACCCTGAAAGTTATTGTTGAATATTCCATCACAAGTGAGTATCACTAATATACGAAAAAAAAATAACTTTCTCGTATCACACTAACACCTGCTCAAGTTTACGAGTGACAACTGCAAACTTAAGAATACGAACTGTCTTTACGATTCGGATTTTTAACTTCACTTTTGTTTGTAAACGCACCATACCGGACAGACGGAGGACTCGTCAATACCACATATTTTTTCATGAATGGTATACGATATAGATTATAGGTACCTGTATGGCTGTATATAATACAATAATGGATATTTGGATACAGCACAATTTTATACAGGCACGATAATGGCTCCCACAATAACTGTCCACAAATCTTTGTGACAGCTTAAAAGAAGACTAGAAATTCGACTTATAGTAAATACATTTCGGTTCATTTTTATTATCCTGCAGGCAGACCACTGTGGTGTAGAACTTTGTCAAAATGTAAGCAGAAAAACAAAAAAACAAAATATTATCATGCACCTAGGTACTATTATAAAAAATTAGTAAAATAAACATTTGGTAAAAATGTCAAGTACCTATTTACGGTCTTCCGTTATTGAATTGCAACAAATTAAGAAAAAAATCGTTAATTTACAGGTGATCCTGTAAATGTCATAAAATATGAACTTTAAAAGATCGTAAAAATTAACTCGAACTTTTCTGTAGGTAAGCTTTTTTTTGTAAATGGTAAAAAAACTGATTAGGAATCTTGAATTTGATTTTCAAATGTTCGCTATGAAAAAAAAAATTTCGTGTGAATATGAATTTCTAATTACACAATAATTTCTATATCCTCACGATTTTGACAAACGGTCAAAATTCTAACTTCAAGCACTCTTAAAAGTTCTTGTGGTTCTCAATTTTACTGACCCGTAAGATGACCACAGACACGAAGAATATTATAAAAAAAAATACACATCATTGTAAAATCATTACATCCATCGCTCTACTCTGAATTTAAAATAAAGAGATAGTCGCATAGTACGACACAAATATAATAATATAAGGAATAATTTATAATATTATTATAGTATAATACAATGTATTGACGTACCTATATTGTATTGTATTTATCCTCTGTGCTGCAATTGTCGAGTTTTCTTCGACGAAGAAACGAAAATTAGAAAAAAGAAAAAACTCTGTAAACATTTCAATGTTTTTTTTTTTTTAATGCCATTTTGTAATATTGTTTAAGTTTTAGAAGTTGATTTGATTTTGATTTTTTTTGGTAATTTTTTTTACACTAATCGATATTGTTTTATCTGATTTGTATATTAATAGAGCCACAGAAGTACCACGGTAGTGTTGGTAATCGGTATCCCGTGTAGTTCCAGTACTCGTGATCGTAAAAAAAAGTTTAAAAATACCTATGACTACTACCGCAGTAAGTTGTTACCGCGAAGTTTCGGACACATTATTTGCTCGGGGACACGTAGTCGTCGCGGGGAATTTTAACGCGTCCCCAAGTGGTTAAACTGCAATCGTCGTAATCGTGAACATTTCAGACTAGCTGTCCTTACGAAAAAAACAGGTTATCATCGTTTCTCCGACAATCCGACCTCCGCAAGTTCTGCCGTTCCGATTGTCATCGTATTTGCGTGTTTTCTCGACGCGCAAGACTTGCCCACCGTCCGCGGTCGTTTTCTGGGATTGTTCTCCGGCTGCCGTGGTCGCAACACGAAAACATTTTCGTGAAAATCGTCGTGCGATTCGTTTTTTGTCACCGCCTCGACACATCCAATTTTTGAATCGATACCCACCGTCGTTCTCTCTTTTTGAAATTTACGAATCCGGTTTCATTTTTTTTTTAAACGCAGTAGGTAGTAGCTGTCGTCGTTATTAAATTTGTTCGGCGTTGTTGCATTTTTCTGTGACCCGCTCAAGTCATTGGAGGAAGGTACGTGCGATTTCGAATCTCTAGCTTCTCAGTATTTCCTATGCGTTTGTTGATGAGTCTTGTTTTTCAGGTGTTTTTCAGCTGAAATAGTTTTATTTCACCTGATCAATTATGTCTGACGGCGACGCTGGAACGGATAGTGAAACCAGACCGAAGGGTGTTGAAGCGCTTAAACAACATGTTATCTCGCATAAAGTAGAAGTATCTCTTTGGTGTACGAGATTGGCGACAATTGTTTTTACGTTTGCATACATTCTGCCACTTTTCTGGTAAGATCATTTTTTTTTTTTTCAACTTTTTAGGTAATCACTAACACCTTGCTATCCGTTTGTGTGTGTCTATCGAAAAATGCAGGCTATTTAAAAACTCATGTTATTTAGGTCAGAAAACTACCTACCCACCTACTACTAAAAAATTACTTTCTATTAGCATCATTCTTAATTAGGTAATCTTCTATATTAGGTACTATTTTGATCGATAAAGATTACTCGTCTTCTAAATTATTTAAAATTACAAAAACTTGTATTTTGAACACAGTTTTTAATACTATTGCTAATAAATGTTATTTAATTCAATAAATTAATCAAATTTTCACTATGTCAAGATATTCATATATACATTTATGCCTGAATGTGAAGCAATAAAATATCACTTGAGTGATTTACAATTTATTAATCCTAAATCATAGTGCAATTACATAATTACCTATACCTAATATGATAGATCGTTCATAAAAATTAACACAAAATGTGTACCTATGATAGTGATATAAATAATATTAAATTTTATATTTTATGTAGGTAGTTATAATTGATATAGACTACCTAATAAGTCTTACATCTTTTTATTTTTTAAAAATTATCTATTATAATATAAGAAATGTATTCTTAACAATTATACTATATAATCATTAATCAGAGGAACACAGGTTATAACTCACTTGTATCTCTCCTTAGATTGACTTAGGCTGCTATAGTGACATTTTAAAATTAAATTTACTTTTAACATTGGACAGTAATACAATACAAAAAATAAAGTTTTAACATAATAGGTGCGTAATACTTAAATTGCATCAATTGTATCAGCTAGAAGGCTATTAATATCAAACAATCATAATTACAGTCCCTATAAAATGAACATTTTGCTTTGGAATACAATTGCCAATTATTGATAACATAAGTATAATTTTTTGATACTTGATAGGTACTTTATTATGTTCCACAGTAATATATATTTTATAAACTGTTAATTTATATTCTCATACTTGACTTATTAAAAATGTGTACCTACCTTCTCTTTCATTTTTTTTACAATTTTACGTTATTATATAGGTTACTAACATTTTGGTATCCATCTAAACTTTTTTTGGTAAATCAAAGTATATTTTATAAGTATTACTAAAAAATATAAAACTTAGACAAATATTGATTATGTTAATTAGATATCTTGTCTTGCTGAACATGTCATAGTATTGTACAAGGCCATCATTATGTGACCTCAAATTTAATTACTTATTCTAAAATGTTATTATTTTACCTATATATACTGAATAATACATGCTACTTAGGTACCTACCTAATCGTAAATATCAATAGGTCCTATTAAAACAAAAATTAACAATGTACCTACAAAATATAATGTATATTCTATTAATAATCCTAAATTTAAAATTGTTATCATCAATTTATAATTTATTAGTGTATGTCTTTTTTTAAGCATTAAAAAAAAATGTTAAGAAGGTTGTCAAGGGGTTCTACTTGCATTAACTTTATCCATCCTACTCATAAGTCATAATATTAAGTAACTGCCTTTCATAATTTTAACAAAATTAAATTAATTTTTATGAAAGATGAATGATGTGAAATTAAAATGTGAATGTGATAGTTAAGTAACAACTAACACTAGTTCATATGGGATAGGAAAAGTGTAATTAGTTTATTTTATATAAAAATAAATAGATTAATGTACATTTTTAATTTTCAGGAACCCATCAAGTGCATATTATAGAATTTTATTGGCAAATGCAGCTACAAGTGCATTGCGTCTTCACCAACGTTTGCCAGCCATGCAAATTTCTTTACAGTTCCTGACACAATTATTCAAAGAAGACAGCTGTCATTACCTATTGTACTCTGTGATATTTTTATATGTGTCGCCTAATATTCGTATCCTTTAAATATTGAACATATTTTTAAATTCTATTAAATATATAGAATATTTTTAATTTTAATTTACATTTACATTGCAATTTAATGTTTTCCTTAACATAAATTTATTTCAGTTGTAATCCTGCCAGTATTTTTATTTTCAACGGTGCACTTTGCAAGCTATTCGTTGACTTTACTTGATGTAAGTGTAATATTGTTTCAATATTAAATCGATTGTATGAATAAATCACTAAACACGTACAATTTATTTTTCAGCTTCTTGGTCAGAACGCATGGTGGGGTGCACGGCTATTGATATCTTTGGTTGAGTTCCAATCACGAAGTATCTTGCGCCTTATTGCCTTCTCTGAAATCTTAGTTATGCCACTCACATTAATCATGTCATTCTTCGGCCGCTCTGGATTGTTGTCTATTGTGTTCTACTATCATTTCCTCACATTACGATATGCTTCACAGCGTAATCCACACACAAGACTCATGTTTTCTGACCTTCGTGTAGCAGCTGAAAATTTTGCAAACAGATCAGGCACACCATCATTTTTGCGATCTGCTATTTTGTCGGGTATTGCTACCATTAGTCGGATGGCTCCCGCTGTGCCACAAAGTTCATAATCTGACTTATTCATTGTCATTATCATATTTTTATTTAAGTGCATGTTGGTGGAATTTGTCTAACACGTGTTTCATTAGACTTAGAGATATAGGATTCCATTTGGATACATACCAAATGTATGAGAAAATTGCTTGGATTTTTATGTTTATTTATTATTATTGTTTTATTTTATTTGGTTCCGGTTCTTCAATATAAAATAAAATAAATATTCAAATTGTATTTTAGTATATACTATTTATATTCAATAATTTGTGTTTATAGTATTTTAATTGTGGTCTAAAGTAATTCTATATATTTTTATTATTTTAAATGTGTTTTTCTTAAAGGTTTGAATGTTTGCCTTTCTGTTTTAAAAAATACATTTGAACAAATATGATTTGAATTACTTTAAAATAAGTTTACTTTTATGCATGCATAAAGACTAAATAGTATATTATCCCTTTTATAAATTAAAAACTAACCATATTAAAATTAAAACTAATATTTTTTCTTAATTTTTAAGTGTTCTGTGATTTAAGAAAAAAAATTGTTTGTTTTTTTTTTATGAACATAGTATTATAATTTATAAATGATTTATGTAACCTCCAAGTAAATAAGATTAATTTATCAGATTAAAAAAAATGCATTTAAGTTCGACTGACAAGTACAACTTTTAATATTGTTTATAGATAAAAATTAATAAAATAATTTAATTTTCTGGAACTTTCTACTTTATTTTCCATATTATTCTACAAGGTTTATTTATATTAAATTTTATCCATGAAAATACCAGTTTATAGCCTAAAAAATATGATTCTAAATTTTTAACTCTTGTATTTAATTTATTAAAAAAATATATTCACTTCTACACCTACAACGTTGCCAAATATAACAAATACTCGTGTAATGAATTGTATGTATTGAAATATGATTTTTGTTTATTAAGTTTATTATATTATGTGTACACAGTAGGTATCTACGTGATTAGGTACTTGAGTATAATATTTCATGTTAGATGCTATGTAAAGCAAATATTTGATAAAATTATATTTTAAGCACTTAAGTTTACTTTATTTATGTTTCAAACTCGCAAACAGTAATAAATTAAAATTAATTTTATATAAATCATTGTTTTTATTCTTTTGTAAATACAAATTTTGGCCTGAATAAAATTAAGGTTTTGGTTAATATTATATATTTGTTTTTAATGTATATCCGTTCACTTAAAAGTTATAAAAACTTAAAGATACTTACAAAAAAATTGTTTTGAATTTTAGTATTTCCACTTTCCAGAAATCAATAGTTATTACTTATATTATGTAATTGTCTTCATTTAATATAATAAGAAGTTACTTAAGGTGTATTAATCATAATTCTTGAGAATAAAGAATGTAATGAAAACTTGCCATTTAAAAATTTGACTTGATAAAACACTTGATACTATATAGTATATAATCATTGACTGTAAATATTATTTATAATCATTGATATAATATTCTCTTTACAAATGATTGATTATTTTGTTCATTGCAAGGACGCATTTGTTGAGAAGGACCTACCAGACTTTGTTAACAAACCTATAAGTCATGATATTTTTTTTTTTTCTTATTTATAAGATTTTATTACGATCAAGTCTGTTGGACAACTATAAATTCACAATATCATAAGTAAAGATATATTATATTATCTTCTATAAATAATTCTCTGTATGCATTTCAAACGTTTATAAAAACAATTCCCCCCCCCCCCCACTAAATTACATGGCATGCATGCCATCAACTCAAAAGCTCTTAATTATCTTTGAGTGGGTGATTAATGAATATGTATTCAACTACGTAATCATTGTAATGACTCATTGGCGAAGGTTATTTTTTATGTTATACTTGAAACAATTTTGTATGTGATTTATTTAGTATTTTAGTAGATTATGTTGCAATTTAAATTTGTTAGCTATTGATAATACAATTCGTAATGAATTCAACATTGTTTTCGACTTGAAATTGATATAATATAGAATTGCTTTACTGAGTTATCGATCAACAACAAAACACTGAAGTCATCAACCATTTTGTAATTGTCAATTTAAAACATTTTCTTAATTTTAAAATGTCTACAAATTTAAATTCCAAACACTTACCAGTAAAATCAAGTCAAATATTTCAACTGCTAGAAAATGTATTAACGTCCCATTTTATAAAATAATTACAGTTTATTTGTTAGTGGAAATTAATAGTTTAACAACGTGATTAACACAAATTGCCAGGAAGTACTTATTAATAATTTAACACTTCCAGGAAAGTAAGTAAATTTTATTGTCTTAAATTGTAATTACATTGTATTATTATACAAATGAGATGTATAATAATTATTAGTAAAAAATATTTATAAAAAGACAGCCCAGTTTGTGTTTAATACCATATTTTCATAAATCTGTAGATGTCGGCGGACGTTTGGGAGTTGACTGTGTTGAGGAACGAGATAAATCGAAACTGCTAGGAGTTACATTTGAATAAACCGATGTAGTATCTGACCCATCAGTGTCCGATGATGAATAAGAGTCCATGTTCATAATCAATTCTTGTCTATACGAACTAATAGAATCATTGAGCTGCCGTAACTGAGACAGGAGTTGTAAATCCATTTGACGTAGGCTTGCCTTAAACATATAATAAATAAGTGATAACAAAATATAAAACTGGTTAAACTTAATATTACTGTTATATACCATTTCATTTCGGAGATGTGCTAGTTTTAGGTCAACAGATGACGGTTTCCTGGGTGGAACTGGAGGTTTTTCAGTTGGACGTTTATCAGAATGTTCAGATGGTATAGGCGACTGGCGTGTTTGTTTAGGTGAGCCAACAAGTTCCGTTGGTTTAGGTGAATGGCGCCGAGCAGGTTCAGGTTTATTACGTGGTGGTACATCATACAGGCTTAAACGACTGAGGCTTTCAGGTAGAGGTGGTAGTTCAGAATCGTAAGACAATGATAAAGGTGATAATAAATCTGAGTCTACTCTCGAAACTTCCACTCCTGGCGACACATCGGGCACTGATGGTGTACGGACTGGGCGTTGAGCCATTTCATTATGCAATGAATGTGGAAGCAATGTGAACACTGACCCCACACTGAAAGGAAATAATATCAATTCAATTAGTATGAACATTAACTTGGTTAGAATGTTGTTAATTTACTAATTTACCTAAAGGACAATCGTCACCGGCAAACTTGCAGTCAGGACAGCAAGCTTCAAACGCCACTCGACAAATACCACACGTGTCGTCATTGGCTACCCAGCGCCATTGTGCAACGCCAAGCACGTCTAAAATATAATATAAAAGAATTACATAAACAGTGATTTTATACTTTAATACTAATGATGAACAACATATTATATTTTTACTAATTTAAGACAACACATAAGACCTTAAAGTAAATCAACAGTATTTTTTCAAATGAAATCCAATTTTTGTGTTAAATTTAGTATTGATTGAATTCAGTTCCGATGGGTAAATAAAATAAAATTAAACTAATGCCAAAATGTGTCTACCTATAGTTTCTTAGTAATTACGTCATGTAATTTTTGAATTATTGTCAAGTCACACATCTTTCCAATTTTACAGCCAAAACTCGTTTTAGAGTTATCATATTATAATAATGTGATACAGTGAAAAACATTGAATTTTAATTAAAAAGTACTCATGTCGAAAAATCATTGTAAGATGTTATTGATTAAAAATATTTCATAAATTAAGAACGATTTAACTAGCCCATGAACAATATCTGGCTGATCCCCTAGTGTTTGAGGGGGTTCGTCGTACACAAAATAGAACGATCTTGGAAATTTAAATCGTTCCAAAATTAAATCAAGACTCGTGGTGATATAAGGTCGACCACTGAGCACTTCGAGCTCATGCGGCGGAAAAAAAAATTGTCCAAAATCTATTTTCCTATAGACGGTGGCCCACTACAATCCACACACGTAAACTACAGAATACGAGGTACAGAAATCGAAATTATTTACAACCACATTTTAGCGATTGATCGGTGTTGTTGTTGTTCTTTACCTTTGACCACTACTTTCAATTTCTTTGGTGTTTCCGGCATTCGGCACACATCGAAGTTTAGCAAGTCCTAGAAAATGTATATTACGGTTCGCCGCTTACCCACGTAAGTATATAGTATTATTATAAAAATTACGAAAACTCGAGAACCGGACGGCCGACGCGATATCGACGGCAAATTTTCGTTATCATTATCAATTTTTGTTCTCGGGCTATTGGTTTTTTTACCAAGATAGTGAAAACGACTTGTGCGAACTCTGTCGACGTGAAACGACCACTCGCCCACGGGCCGTATAAGTGCGCCGACGAGGAGTCGACGACCGGCACTCCCATTCGTAAAATATCGCTCCGCGGAAGTCTGTTACTCTGTTCGAAGAACTATGACGATCGATAACAACTCTGTTGTCGTCAAATGTCCTGTTCATTTTTCCCGTTTTTCGTCTGCACCTTTTCGCCGCGAAAGAGGCCAAAGATTTTACGACAACCTATCTGTACAATACGATTTACCTATGTAGTATAAGAATTATATAAGATATTATAATATGTCATAATATGACCATGAAAAAGGGAGTGATGGAAGGGTCTTAAAAATCTGATAAGCGTCTCCCGAGTCCTGGGATCATCCGAGGTTCTCCCTGGGGAGTGAGCACTGGAGAAAGATATTTCCACAAAAGATTGCTAGGCAGCACGTAACCCCCAGGGCCTAAGGGCTAGGGTCTAGACCATGTACAATAATTGAATAGGTACCTTATTTCGAATGGCGGACAATTTCCCCTCTGACATTTCCCCCCCCCCCGACTGTTTTTGGCGTAGTAGGACATTTTCCCCCCAATATATATTCGATGCGGACATTTTCCCCCCATTTTTTTTTTAAGTTTATTATTTATTATTTAATAAGAAATTATTTTTTTTCAGTAAAATATAATTTTTTTTATAAATATAATCAATTATACTATAATTAGGTACCTCGTACTTATTATAGTCAGTGGCGCAACTAGGGCTAAAATTTTGGGGGGGCTGTAGCCCCACCTGATATTACATGAAATGTAACCCGTGGGGGCATTGTCCTCACACACCCATATATATTTACTTAAAAATATAAAACACACAAACAAAAAAAGCAAATATTTATTTATTCAAGTTTCATTTTTCTTTTATTTTTGTCAATAAATATTTGTAATATTTCATTGATTTTAATTTCAATATCTTTTTCGATGTGAAGAATTGATAGATTACTGAACCGATCCTGGTTCATTGTGGAACGTAAATATGTGTTTATCCTTCTCATCGCTGAAAAGGAGCGTTCTGATGTGGCAGATGAAATTGGCAAAGTAATAGCTACTTGTACCATTAAGTACAAATTAGGAAACACTTTTTTATTCAAATTTTCTTTTATGAAATTCATGTCCTTTAAGTTATCACCAATAACATTTTTTAACACCAACATTTCACTTTTTAAATCATTTTCGTTAATGTTTAATACATGCTGAAAACAAATTTTACTATAAAATTTTTGTATACATTGATATTAGGTACCTAACCATTAACCAACCTTATAATGCTCAACCAAGAATGAGCTTCCTTCATAGTCAAATTGCATCAGTCGATCAGCTGAAGTAGCGATGCTTAAACTTTCTTCAGAAAATCTTATTTTCAAACTGCTAATTATTGAGTCCATGATTACATAGAAGGCATTTAATTTCCAATATTCTTTTTTATTTGAATCATCATCACTTAAACAGTTATTGGTCTGTTGGGTTGGTCGGCTGCAGTTGAAACAGTTACATCATATACGCTTAAGTAGGTAGGTTCTTTTCTAAGTCTTTTTAATCCTGTTAATATTATAAAACTGTATTGTCTTCATTTAAACTGATGTTTTTAATAGTAAAAGTTTTTACCTTGCTCTGGCATATTAATTGAAATATTATGTTCCAAACAAAATTTTTTGATATTATCCCAAAGCTCAGAAAAGTGTTCACTATTTCGATTATTTTCAAGCGTTAAAATTACTCCTTTAACTAAATTTCCTGATTGGCCCAGAGTTGTTCCCTTTAATTGAAGCTGAGTACTCAAAATATTTATAGACTGAAGAACTTCATGTAATATAAATAAATATAATATAAATTTAAAATTACTAATAGTTGCACGGACACCTAAAATGAAATACAAAACATTAAAAGAAGAACAATGTAACTCACAATTAAATAATTTAAATAACTTACCAATTGCTTGTGCCACATCTTTTGATTTCTGTTCAACTATTTCATTATCCAAAGCCATTAAAACAGAAACATAATTTTGTATAAGAGCATTACAGCTTTTATACCTACAAACCCATCTGGTATCGCTTAGTTTTTCTAGTTTAGTCATTTTTAAACCAAGTTTATTTTGAATTGTTGACAATTTGTGGTCTTTGGCTGGTTTAGAAAAGTGTACATATAAAGCTTCTAATCCATTAAATACATTCCTAGCATCCTAAAATATTTATCAATTAAAATAGTATCTATCAACATAGTTTATTGCAATTATTACTTTTAAATGCTTGCACATATCAACAACGACTAGGTTAAGCTTATGAGCCATGCAATGGACATAAACCGCTTGTGATGCTGAGGGATGGGATTGTCTAAGTTTAGATTGCACACCTCCAACTGATCCTGACATGACGGCAGCCCCGTCATAGGATTGTCCAATAATGGGGACGTTACTTAAATTTGAAGAATTTATGAAATTTATCAAAACAGCAACCAAGGAATCAGCATTTTGATTTTCTGAGACATCATAGAACTCAATAAATCTTTCACAAACGTCTAAATTTTTACAATACCTAATGCAAATAGCTAGTTGCTCTTGCTTATGACACCTGTAGTAAAAACAAAATATTTTCTTATCATACAAATTTGAAAAAAATAATAATGAAAACATTTTTATAATAGTCAAGACGATTTGTATTGTATTTAATACCTTGCTGTAGTTAAGTTACTCTACTCTCATTTTCTCATTAAATATATTAGAATTTAGAATAAAATAAAGTATTCATAATATATACTAATTACTAATTAGGAATAATGATGATTTATTACCGAGCTTCATCACATTGTATGCTAAACATTCCTGATTCTCGTATTTCCTTAATGATAATTTCTTTTAAGTATGTTGCGCAAATAGTTATAATCTCATTTTGTATTGCCCAACTAGTGTAGTTTTTTTTTTCAGCATTATATATTTTAGCAAAATCAGAATTGTATCTTGCAAAAAGGGAACACATTTCTTTAAAATTTCCTAAAAATTATTTGAAATTAATATTAAAACAAAATTAAATCAACAGGATAAGTAGTTGCATTTCAATAAAAACTAAACCAATTATATAAACATTCAATACCTTTATTTAATGAATTTTCATCTTCTCGATGCGCTCGTAATGCAATTCCTTGACGGCCATGGTATAATACTATATCACATAGACATTTAATATATTCCTGGTTTTTCAATATTTGTTCTTTGCTAGCTGCTGACAGCTGTGAAATCACTGAAATTGTCCCTGGTTTTTTAAAATTTATGTAACATTCCCATTTAACCATTGCTGTTAAGTGATGTTCACTTTGAGAGTGTAATTGCAACTTAGTTTTTTTTTGTTTTCCATCTCTTGAACCAGCCAACTGAATTGTAAAAAAACAGCAATCACCTATAGTTGATAGTTATACATATTATGCAAATAAGTAATAACTAATAATTACTTTTTTCCAATTACTAAAACCAGCAGTCTTAAATGTGTCTTCAATATGACCAGAATCTACTGCAAATAAACGGCAAGCATAGCAAAAGCAGGCATTTAACTTGATACTGTATTCTAGCCAGTTAAATTCTTTATAGTAAGCCGAAGAAAAGGATCGGTTTTGCGCACCAAATTTGGTTTTAGGATAAGCCTAAATTCAAAAAAATTTAATGCATTGTGCCCAATTATAAGCTGATCATATAAATAAATTATAACTAAAAGCAGTTAAAGGTATAAAAAGTTATAGGTTTAATACATAAAAATATAAAATAATCAATCATACATACATGTATTCATGCTTTATATTGACTATATGGTGTATTATTATTTTAATTAAATATAATTGGTTTAATCTTTAACCCAGACAGCATATTGTAATGACAATATTATAATAACTTTATACTTATATTATTCGTGATTAATGATTATAATGTTAATTGTTATAATAATATTGTTTAACAAAAAATTGCTGTCTGGGAATAATATGTGTATATACGTGTACATACTTTTAGTATTGGTTGAACAGGGCCCGTTTCCAAGGTTCCAAGATCGCATTCTGAGTTTGAATTCAAATGGTGCGACACAGTTACAGTACTAACAGTAGTAACACTTACATGTGGTGATGATGACACATCGGGTGCAATAACATGTGGTATACTAGTACTACTGCTACTAGCAAGCAGATAATCGTCGTTGTGTACTTGTTCTGGTTGTTCATCGTTTACATTAGAATCTTTATTAGACTTTTTAGTTGAAAAGTTAAAAATCGAAAAACACTTATTTTTGTTATGGTTGTCCATTATTTCAACGAGGTCTACAAATGCGACAGCCGACAGATAGGAAATGTTAAAACACGTTTAAAACACACAAAACGTTAAAAACGTTAAAACACACAAAAACTTACGTCGTTCACTCGATTGGTCAAGTGCGGAGTGATAAGCACTTGTTCGAAAATGATAAGAGTGGTTGTTCCATGGTTTAACGGCGGTTACCTTGTGACCAACTTGAGCTGATATTGCACAGCAAGTCGAGGGATATTTTCGATTTGCGGAGCGGAGCGACCATTGTTATGTATAACAATCGTACCATTGTACCAATAGGTATATCAATATAAATCGTTTCGAACAAATACATACATATTATAGCAAATAATATTTAGTATTTTTAGTTAGTATTTGGAAAAAAATTTAATTGTTTAATTATTTTCCAAAAACAATAATAATTAGGTAATAATTAAGGTTTATTCATTTTTACGAAACAATTGAATAATTTATTTTGGGGGGGGCTATTACAAGTTTAGGGGGGGCTAAGCCCCCCAGCCCCCCCCCCCTAGTTGCGCTTATGATTATAGTAGATATATATTTTTGATCAATTCAACTACTTGAAACAATAAAATAATAGTAATATTATATTTAAAAGATTGTCTAAATAAAAAATAATAGTACTAGCATACTGTATTATTCGCTAGTAACATTGAAATCTAAAATTGTATCTCAAAACCCAATCAATTGCTGGGCTGTCAAAAACTATCTTATTATTTGATTTATTAGACTATTAAGATAAGATTCTTCTACAATCTTATATCTTCATGAGCAAAGGTTTTGGACTTTTGTATAAAAATTATCATTTTTATGTCGACATTTTTAACCTATTTTACTTATATACAATTTTTTTATGTCTTATTATTTATATTTATGAAAAAAAAAATGAAATTTTTAACCTATTTTACTTACCTATTTTACTTACCTATATACAATTACTTTACGTTTTTATTATATTTATGAAAAAATGGGGGGGAAATGTCCGGGGGGAAATTGTCCGGATACCTCTAATTTAAAACCGTCAAAGTACAACGGGATTAAACAAGTTATTAATTTTATAATTGGAAATATTATTTGTACCTATATGTTATAACTTTATATCTGATACAGTATTATACAAATGAAGTAACAAGTTCAATGGAATATTAAGCTAGTTTTAAATTGTATAATAATGTTGATGATATAAATGTATGATTGGGTACCATAAAATTATAATATACCTATCACGGTATTATAATGTACATAGTGGCACAGAATAAAATAATAAGGTAGCTTTACAGTCGAAAAATTGAGGTGGTGCAATAGGGGGGCCATGCCCAGGAACTTTTATCACTCCGCTTACATATAATCCACAAAACTAATATAAGAAGTACATTTTAAATATTTATAAATACCTAGCTCGGGAGGAGCCAAAATATTTTTTAAATGTTATCATTTCTAGACAATTCTAATATAAATATTTCAAATATGAACGTATAGGTAGGTATACATATAAACATAATATGGTTATTTTTTTTTTGAATTGCCAAGTAACAATGTCCCTCTCGGAATCACAATAAAAAAATATTTTAACTTACAGCAAGTTGTAGTAGCATACAATTTACACAGTAAGTTGTTAATTGTTACTTAATTACCATGTACCATTCCCGAATGGATGCATTCAGCATTTCAGCATAATACTTGCGTCTATATAGGGGCAAATACTCCAAATGTTTTATAGGATGGCCGAACACCGAAGTACTCCCCTTATAATATTTTTTAAACAAGTGCCCACAACCCCCTCTAATTTTGCCAATATAATTGAGTCCCAAAAAGTGGAAGTAATACTTACATAGGTGCATAGAAGTATAGTATATGACAGCATAAGAGCTGTTATGTCTCCATTTACTTTGGCTACTATATAATACTATGTCAAACGGTCGAATACAAACCTGGGAGGCGCTGAAGACATGATTAGGGGTGGGGGGGAAGTCATAATTTTCAGAAAATTCGAGGATTTTTTTTTTGTCATTTTGTTTTTAACAGTATAAAGTTGTTTATAAGTACAGCTTGGGGGGAAGTATAAATATTGAACATTATACGCAGAGCTTTGAAAAAAGACGTTTATTTAATTATACCATGCATGCATCCATTACAGTGACCCACATGAACCTACTGTGCAGTGTACAGCAAAATGACATCCACTTGTCCACCTTTTTTTTTTTTTTATTTATTATTCTACAGGATAAGACCTAGAATACTAAAGGAACGATTCTGTTTTAGCAGCTTTTCGATATTCCAAACTTTGTTTTAAGGTGCTCTGTAAGAATGTAAAAAAAAAAAGGCCGGACAAACTTCATTTTGAAGTTATTGATGAAAAACTTCAAAAACTACATTTTTTCCGTATTTAATCTAATACCTTGAATTGAATATCGAAAATATCCCCCGATTTGCTAATCGTATGTAAAACCACCTTGGGCAGACCTCGGAATTAAACAAATTTGTTAAACAAGTGCGAGTCCGATTAGCGCAAGAAGGGTTCCGTAGCAGACTACCATCATCAGCTATGTTGGCATTTTGGCAACACTGCTTATATTATATATTCTAGGATATTTAGTATTGAGGAGCAGTAATGCTAACGCGGCTCCTCTTCCGTCCCTCGAAAAAAAAAGGATTTTTAGTATTTGTTGCTATACAGCATCCACAGAAATACAAAATCTGTGAAAATTTCAACTTTCTAACTTTCATGGTTCATGAGATACAGCCTGGTTACAGACGGACGGACAGCGGAATCTCAGTAAAAAACGGAAATAGGCTTCCGTTTTACCTTACGGAACCCTAAAAACATAATCGGCTGGCGTTGCCACTCGCTCGCTGCGCTGAGCACGGACAAAAAATCGAAAAAACACCAAACACGAGTTCCTCCGCCCAGCATTAAAGTAGTGTTGCGCACATGCGTATATATGAAAGTAAAATCACAAACTTAGAATGGCTATAACTTCCAAAATAATGGTTTCAGCAAAAAAAGTTTCGAAATCAGCGTTAAAAACCACACATATTGAAAAATAAAAAATAAAAAATTATTCAATTGTATGTATATTTTTTGGTATCGCATTAAAAAAGCTTTGAAATAAAAAAAATACGATAAAAAGTTGTAAGTTTGGTTTTGTTAAAAAAAAGTTGAGTTGCCCATAACAAACAATAATTAAAAAGTTATACCCACCCTTTAAAGTGGTTTTTTTCAACTTAAGGTTGTCTATCATATAAATGACGCCGGCCATATACACGGCTATATAACATAATAATAAGTCTAACCTATATATCCTTTATATACCGATTGTAGGTAGTATAAATAATAATAAATAATCGTATTTTTAATTGGACCTCAAGGCCGTAGGCATATTAATTATTACCTGTATATAGCTATATACATATATATGGTGCTCTCAAGTATGGCAGGATATCATAATATTCTAAAATAGTATAATAGTATTCTAAATCAGTTATACACTTACACGCGAGGGAGCTCGTCGTCTGTTGGCAAGTAATAAACAGAGGCCAGAGACATTTGACCCACTCCAGTCTTTCATAGGCTGGTCAAATTGTTGGCATCAGTCAATTATTTTATAGAATGACCATGCTGATGTTTGTCATTCAAATATTTTTCATAGAAATAAAAAAGGGGCAAAGTAGGTAATAATACCGTTGTGCTGTATAAGTGATGTACCTTATTATATAGGAACCTATAACACAGCTGTGTATATATATATGTGTGTGTGTGTGTGTGTGTAGACTGTACCTCTTCATTGAGTAAATTACTGTATAATATATCAATATATGTGTATCTTGTATGTATTGTAAGTATGTATTCAATTTGAGTTTAATGATAAATCATTGCTGAACGAAAAAAGATTCTTAGCGAAGACAGTCAGCACTTCGCGTCTTCGCATATATATATTAAACATATATAATATATTAAAAAGAAAATGATAATTGTCAATTAGTCCCCCAATTCCCAAGCCTCTCCAACCGATTACCATCCATGGTGGATAATTTTTATTTAGATTTTTTTGTTTCATTATGAATTAGGTACTTATAGATATAACTTATGAGGAACCTTGTAGTAAATTATTAAGCTTTTTAACTGGGCCATAATTTTTTTTATCAACATTATAATAGATTAAAAACTAAAAAAAATCAAAAACTTCAAATGTAGATGGCATAACAAAATTACACAATCAAATAACAACCGTACAAAAAAATACATTTTCATATTATTTTTTAAATACCTTCCTATATTATGTATATTTTTAAATTAAAGAATTATATAAACGTCACTTCGTCCGTCGGTCGTTATAATGATGATTAGCATTTGGTATGCTCAGGCATAAAAAGATTTATTTTATATTTTTATCAGGTCTAAAATATTTCTAAAATTATTATAGGCACAATAGGAATTAGGACAAACCGCAGTCGCATAGATATCAGCTGGTACCTACATTATATAAGCAGGTATCTACTTTTTTTTGTATTAATATAATGTGTGTCATACTGCAGCCATTAGATAAGTGTGCTTAAGTATTTTTGAGCATACCTATATTTTGATTTTAAGAACTAAACTATACGTATATAGTTAAATAGTATAATTAATTGACTACTGAATTTGAAGTTATATACCAGGTGTCAATACGCTTGTATCTACTTAAAATTATAATAGGTTGTATGTAGGTATTTAAGTACCTAGTTAATAGGTAGTTACTAGTTAGTATCTACCAACCAGTGGCGTATTTACGGGGGGGGTCCCCGGGTCTGGACCCCCCCCAGAAAAAAATATAATATAATATAATTATTACATCGTAACTCGTATGTGTTTTTTTTATATTATAAACTTGTAGGTACCTAATATTTAGACCCCCCCCAGAAAAAATTTCAAAATACGCCACTGCTACCAACATATGGTTGATTATAATTTATAATTTATGACTATAGTTTGATAATTTATAATTAATCTTAATATTATGGAGTCGGTTTATGGGGTCCCTCGTCTTTACCATGTCGACTTGTTAGTTGTTGCTACTGTGGTATCTTCAAGTTACAGCTAACTCATTTGTATTAATGTATTATATGAATCACATAATATTATATGGGTACCTAATGATTTTTCAGAAGAAACCAATGACATTACCGTCAATACCGTATATGGTAAACGTCCATACATTTGTCAGAGTCGTCAACACATCTTAATAAATAATAATTATATGTACCTATTAATATATCATTAGTCATTAGAATTTATTTCAGTACTGATTAAATTCTATCATTAGCTCACTACCTAATTCACATTCTATCAACAGTTATAAAAAAGTAATTAAATACTCGCCAAACGCCTAAATACTATCTTATCTATTTTTACTTCTTATGCTCTATGATTCTATATTTCTATCCAATGCATACACACTAAACTACTAAAGTACACAATACAATATATCCACATTTACAATCTGTTAATATTATAACCATGAACTATAGGTAGATACTGTTACCGTTACGTACCTACTATTTAAATATTTTGTTCTTACTTTATTTTCATTAATTAATTATTTCATTATATACCTAATTAATAATCTAAAGGTAGGACCTACTAAAGACTACAGTAGGCAGGTAGGTATAATCTACCTAAATTTAATTGGGAGTTGTAAACATCATAGTATATCATATTATATATCACGATCACCTATGTACCTTGTGTCCTTCTAATTATATTATGTAAATATGTAATAGCCGAGCTGTAATTCTTAACAGGCAAAAGCTCAATAAAAAAAAAAATAATAATAATAATAATAAACTTGATATTATATGTTATTGACATTTTGATATTATGTGTAATAAATCGTTAATATTTTGATAACCTTTGAACAGCTATGGGAATTAACTTTATATGTACCTATTAGTTATTTAAATTGTTGATAACCTCTCAACTAGTTATTAACCTATTAAATCAGCCGTAGCAGCAATAGCATTATAAATTATAATATATCTACAGTCTACACCATGAACCTTCTGCTTGAAATAGTTTATGATATGCACATATTATCATCTATAGTGTATAATATAGTTATGTAGGTACTTATGAGTTGTATGTACATATGTATTTATATATATATATTATTTAGCCATTTAGGTACGTAATAGGTTACAGTGATATTTCTATAACTATTTTAAACAGTGTTGAACTGTTGAATATTAAGGGGGAGGGGGGCAATAGCGCGATATCAATTTTATAGGACCAAGTTTTTTTTACGTACCTACCTACCACCTAATTCTAATATTCTTTAAATGATAATTGTTTGTATGGTTGCCATATATTATTATAAGCTAGACGCTTTATAGACGTGTTTGCTAGTAATATAATTATTAAAATTTCATACATTAATATAATCTATCCCTCATAAAGTCATAAATATAATAATTCCTGCAGATAGATAGGTTAGGTACTTCATCATTATAGATAAATATTTTTAAACCCCCCCCCCCCCATTTGAACAACCCCTGAATCAAGTACCTACTGATTTGAAAGGACTATAATATAATATCGACTATTACATTCCATATAATGTAGGTACTACTTATATAATTATCTATGTTAATATGTTAGGTACACAGATAATTTATGTGTATGAACAATAACTTATAAGAGTACCTATTATATATATATATTATAATAACCTATTATGCTATAATTTATATAGGTAATATTATAGGTAAGTAATTACTAATTTATAACGTATAAGTATTCAAGTACACCTAACTACACCTACATAATAGATTATTGCAGGTTAATCAAAATAAATATATGATATTTATATATTAATTTAATCAGATATAGATTTTTTATGTTATTTTTAGGGTTCCGTACGGTAAAACGGGACCCTATTATACTAAGGCTCAGACCATACAATTTTTTTTTCGGATATTTATATATTTCCACGAGTTGTATCAACTGATGGACATTACAAAAGTTGCCAAATGATACTAAGGATAGCCAAAACCCAAAAAGTGAGCGCGTTGCGTCTGAAGAATTTTTTTAGAATATTTTCTGAACGACTTGTACATGTATCATGTATGAGCTATAAAGTAGGTATGAAAATACAAAATATAGCCGCATACAAGTTAAATATTAGAAAGCTCGGTACCTACCTATACATTTTATTTGAATTTACATATTATTTGAAAGCTGATTTAATAAAGATAATGTATTCCAGTCGTTAAATTTTAATTCAAAATATTTTTACATAAATTATTGGTATGTAGGTAGGTAGGTATATTATGTGTTAATGTGGTATGAGGATATAAATAAAATAGGGCATAGTTTTATATGATCAGAAAAAAAATATTGTAAATCATTGAACAATTCATATAGGTACCTATATCATAAAAACTGTAAATAGTGGATGTCCTTGTAGTTAAATAGTCTATACTACCAACACGGAAATACTTATTATATGCAATTATACAAGTAAATAAGTATTTTTTTATGGGTAATAAACATACTCAATTACCTCACAAAATAATAAATACATTATTATCTTGAATCAAAAGATGCAAACAATAAATTATAGTGATGTTTGTTCAAATAATTTTTCGAACTATTCTGTCAAAAACTTTTGTTGGTATATTTTATTTTACTCAATAAGTGTAAAACAGTTATTCTTTGGGCAATGTGACGTCAAATCTCAAAAAATTTTAATCAACTTTATAGCACGGCTGCGCCCAATCCATGGGACCACAGGTTATTATGTTAAAAAAACAACAATATATTGCATTAGATTGTATAAAATGTGTATAGGCTTTAGGTACATCACATGGGCATACATTATACAACAAGTAGGTACAATATAGTAATGAAATATTCAATTTATATTGTTGGTGGCCAGGATGAAGGCAATATTTGACTAATGTGGCCCACTGAAGAAAAAAGGTTGGGCAACACCGGTGTAGTAGGTACCTAAGTGCAATGTGCATTCAATGAAGTACTGTTTACTTGAAACTATACTTGTGTCATAAATATTTTAAGTATAAACATTGACTAAAAAATTAAGCATAGTGAGTAGAATACAATAATATATAATAATATAATTGTGCCTATTAAATTTATAGTCATTTATCATTATTATGTAATTTTATTGATAAGGTTCCACTCATGCTTTTATATAAGTACCTACCTAAATAAATAAGTGACTACGTAAGTCATGAAAAAAAATTATGATTATGTCAGCGATTGTGTAATACTTAATCAATTAACTATAAGGAAAAGAAATAATGTTTTTAACTGTTGTAATGAATATATTATATTCAGGACGAACGGTTATCACAGTTTAAGCTTAAGGTTGGTCCAGAGTTGAATATCATATTATTGTCTAATTAAAATTATGTTATAAAAACAATTTGCATGAAAATTATTATTTTTGATAAAATCAGGAAAATATTAATGAGTAATACACACAATTTATTATTCCTTTACCATTATGTTTGCTTTTAACTTCAAGGTAATTTTAATACATTTGTAGATATGATCAGTACTCAAAGATACACTATAATCATAAATAAAACACACTCTTCTGACATTTATGAATTTTAATAAAACAATATAATAGTATAATTTTAAGATAATTTAACATGCAAATTTCATTTTTAGTAATAATGACAACACGGCATATAATGTTTGTTGTGAGAAATATATTTATGTTTTTTGATAAAATTTATCATCAGTCTCGTTAAATTGAAGTAGTTCCCAAAATATGCACCTACACCTAAATTTATTTTGACTAATGATGTAAAAATTAATAACTACCACCGATCAGAAGAAAGATAATATTACACTTTTCTGTTTAACTATGGCACAATTTTGAAACCAAAATCTTAAAAATAAAAATAAAAAGAATAAATAAACGATTATTATTACGTATAAATAGAATAAAACATAGCCAAAAATTCAAGCTTAAATATTTTCAATAATTACTATTTGCATGCGAGTTTTAATTTAAGTTTCAAATTTTCAGCCAATTTGTCCAAAAATTCAAATGTATTCAGATAATCAGATCTTTGAACTCCGTTCATTCCTTTAATGCATATGGCCAAATCTTTAGTCATGAATCCAGCTTCCATTGTTTCAATGCAAACTTCTTCCAATTTGTTGGCAAAGTCTTCCAGTGGTTGATTATTATCCAATTTTGCTCTATGCAATAATCCTCTTGTCCATGCAAAAATGGATGCAATTGGATTAGTAGATGTTTCTTTACCTTGTTGATGCATACGATAATGTCTCGTGACAGTGCCATGTGCAGCTTCTGATTCAACAGTTTTACCATCGGGGCAAATCAATACAGATGTCATTAAACCCAATGAGCCATAACCCTGAGCAATAGAATCTGATTGAACATCACCATCATAATTTTTACACGCCCATACAAATCCTCCTTCAGATTTCATGGCATAGGCCACCATGTCGTCAATTAACCTATGTTCATACCAAATACCTTTGGCTTCATACAATGGTTTGTATTGTGAATCATAAATTTCCTGGAAAATGTCTTTGAAACGACCATCATACTTTTTCAAGATGGTGTTTTTAGTACTCAAATATAATGGAAGTTCCCTTGATAAAGCAAACTTGAATGAAGAATGCGCAAAATCAGTAATAGACGCATCTGTGTTGAACATTCCTAATGCTACTCCTGCACCTTTGAAATCATTGATGACTTCTTCAATTTTATCTTTATCTGAAACAATAAAAAAAAAAAAAAATACTTGAGTACCTAGGTAATTTAAATAAATAAAATTTATTAAAAAAAAAAGTACACAAATATAAACTTACCGTCATTAGAGGTCCACGTCAATGTAAGTTTTCCAGCTCCAGGAACGATGAAGTCTGTAGCCTTATATTGGTCAGCATGGGCATGTCTTCCGATTATAATAGGTTTTTCCCATCCAGTAACCAACCTAGGAATGTTTTTGCATATAATGGCCTCTCTGAACACTGTACCTCCAAGAACGTTTCTAATGGTGCCATTGGGGCTCTTCCACATTTTCTTCAGCTTGAATTCTTCGACCCGCTTTTCGTCGGGCGTAATCGTGGCGCATTTGATCCCGACATTATATTTCTTCACGGCTTCGGCACAGTCCAATGTCACTTGATCATTGGTTAAGTCTCGGTTTTCTATGCCCAGGTCATAAACATGGAGCTCAATGTCCAAGAATGGCAGGATGAGTTTTTCCTTGATCAAATCCCAGATGATGCGGGTCATCTCATCACCCAAAATGTCAACAACGGGTCCGGCACTGATTTTCGCCATTGTCGTTGAACGTTCACAAAAAAAATTAAATAAAAATACTTTATAGAGTTACAAGATATTACGTATAACGCTATCGAGTTGGGTCGACGTTCGAAACCGAATAGAGAGTCTGACTAAACGGTCGGATTAAAACAGAACGATTCAATGTTCGTCCACGGACTATTCGAAATATAATCCAATACAATCTGGTTTAGCAATCGTGTCAATTAATTAGATATTATAATGTATAATATTATACGGAATATAATGGGGGGTTCGGTTACATAAAAATTAATAGACAGGCTACGTGGAACAATATTAATTGATTACTGGACGACGTCTGATCATATGTTTGGATTGTTATCACTGCTTATCAGTATGCGATAACAATCATTACTTCCGTGATACGGGAAAATCGTACAGTGACGGTCTGTCTGCGCACCACGCCCGATAGTTTTTCCCCGGTGATCCGGCACCGTCTGTTTTTAATTTAAAATGGCGTCTAAGTGATTAATATTATTATTATTATTATTATTTTTATTATTATTTTTTTTTCACACTAGATATTTTGCTATAGGTACTATAGGTAGTCGAAAACCTTTTAAAAATCGTATAATTCGTATTTCGTCAAGTATTTTAGTAGTTTAGTACCACGACAATATTGTCATACTTGTGCTCCGACCATCGCCATCCGACGGGTTCGATTAGACTCCGTCCACAGTGTTTAATACTTATAAATATAAATAATAGTAATAATAATTAATAATAATGTCATCTCAGTGCGCGTCGTCTACCCTGTGCACCGTCGTCCCGTCCAGAACAACGACAGCTCGATTGGGTATGTCATTAATTATTATTACTGTTTTGTTGTGATTATCGGTAGGTTCGTTCGACGACCGGGAACGAACGGGCTAGTGTGGACTACGCGAATGTCAAACTCGTTTCTAGGGAATTCAGTTTCGTTTTGGGGGGGAAACAGGATCGTCAGCGATTGAAGAACTCTTTTTTGGATTGTCGCCTTGTAACAACAAATCGACCAAGTCGTCGTAAAATTTACTGTAGATTCGAGTACGTATTTTGTTCGCTCATTCCGACAGAATTTTCCTGTTAGCTTTTCCAATTGCCTCGATTTCCGTGTTGATAACAACATACCGGAATCGAAATCCCCCTCAAGTCTTTGAATATTTCTTGAAAGTATCTATGTTTATTGAAACTCTAAATGTAAAATTAGGTGTAGTATTAATTGTGCTCCATTCATGATGGGAACCATTGACGTGGTCGATTTAAAGTTTGTTGCTAATGCGTCAAAAAATTATTAATTTAGATTAAACTTCAAATACAAATCAGTGGATAGTCTTATAGATAATTTATTAGGAACATTAATTATTATACATCGATAACTCAATCTACCTATAATAAATCTTTGAAAGACGATAGGTATTCAATTATCTACTTCGATTATAAGATAATTAATGTCTGAAATCTGTGTAATTAATTTTGATTAGAACATTTTGATTTATTAGAGTAAAATACTTTGAAAATATATATAATCCTTTAGGTACTGATTTCTTGTAGGTAGCAAAAATAATATAAATTTTATTTTTATAAATAATGATATAGGCAGGGACGGCAGGCCCGGCTCAAGGTTTAGGCGAGCTAAGCACCTGCCTAGAGCGGCACTTAGTAACACTTACTAAGGGGGGAGGCATATTAAAAAAGGTAATATTATTTTAGGGGTGGCAAAATTGTATTTTCGATTGAGCCGGCCTGGATGTAGGTAATTTATTTATTTTTATTTCAGCTGTGCATAGGTAATACATTATACTTTACATAAGTAGATGCCTAGTCCCTGTAAGCAAGCATGTGTGAGGGGGGGGGGTATGGAGTCAACTACAATTTTTAATAGGTAACTGTTAACAATAGTAAATAGTAATAATAAAACTGTATTTTTTGTTTTAAATTTTTCGAGTTTTATATTAAAAACAATGTTTTAAACAGTATATTTAAAATAACTTAATTTTAATTTAATATGTAGTTTACTTATATGCCAATATACCAATATTTAACTAATACAAAATAAGCTATTTTTAGACTAGTAATATCCAGGATATTTTGTAACTTCAAAATAATTTGTATTAGTAACTTGAAATATTTTTAACGTACTTTTTATAAGGCCACCTGTTATAGTCGTACATAGATCAACAAAAAGCTTGATTAATAAAATAAATAATATTTAAAAATGTACCCAGACATTTTCTTTTACACATTACCATTACTACTAGGTATATTATGTTCATAAATTATTATAAAGTATTGGGCTGAGGTTATTCTAGAAAATAATATAATATAAAAATAATTTCCATTACCTACATACATCAATTATATTATTTTTTATAATACATAGGTAACCATTTATTGACTATTTGCAGCCCTAAGTTAGCTTTCATTTCAACTTCAATCCAATCATCATATTCAAAAAATAATACAGTACCTACTACCTATCATCTACAAGAGGTACCTAAAACATTACCAATGTAATAAATAATGTGTATAGATTGAAAATAAAATTGTACCTAATACTATTTTTTAATGAAACAAAAGGTTATTCTCCAGGTTGGGTTAACTTCTTAAATAAAAGAATAGTTTTATTTATTAGTATTATATTATGATACATTATAATTCCTTTTTTTGTACCTAATTTCTATACTAGATTTAATATTAAAAGCTAATTAATTTAATTATAAACCACTAGAAATTAATTTTAAACAATAATGTCTGAATTAATAATATGCTTAAATTCTTATTTATAAATTGATAGAAATATTGAGTAGGATTTGTATACAAAAATAATCCATATGGTAGGTACCTACCTATTTGTGAATTTGCTTTCAAAAATAGCAACAATAAAAGTTTGGGTGTATAGATTTATCCTCTAGTGTTTTTTAATTGTTATAACTTATAAGATATGAAATTTCCTCCTTACTTAAATTACCCTATTTATTTATACTATTTTTAAGTAGTAAGGTTAATAACTTAAATTACCATCAATGATTTATTTATTGTAACAATTTTTCTTTTTAATTTCTTTTAATTATAGGCTTTAGGTAAGCTTTTAAACTGAATAAGTTATAACCTATATTTTACTACTTATATTTATCATTCAAAATTATTTTGAATAACAAGAAAATCATTGTACACAAATAGTAGATAAGATTACCTAGGTTTTTTTTAACTGTTTTATTTAATTTTATGTGGGTATCTATATATCTATAAAATATTTAAAAAACGGGTACCTACCTGTCTATCTACTCAAATTAATTTCAAATGTACATTTTTATAGTCATTCAAAGTTAATAATTTTGATTAATTGAATAAAAATATAAAAGTGGCATTTTTAAAACTATGAGTCACCTATTGTTTTAAATTTAATCTTATTAACTAATATTGGTCTAATTTTCTTAATATCTATAGACTAAAGTAATGTTAAGAATATACTCTTAAGTAGCTTAGATTAATTGAGGAGATATTTTTGATTTATTATTAGTAACACTTAAATTGAATACTTCAACTGCAATTCAATAAGTTAGATAATTGTAACATTAGTTTTATCAAACTTAATTTGTGTCAGGTTTTTCAAACACATTTATGCACATTTAAAATAGGTAACCATCTTCCTGTCTACATAGTCTTATTATTTTTAAAACTAGGTAGGTAGGTACAACATTTCTTATATTTTATTATAATATATTAACTTAATGTTTTATTTTATTCCCAGGTGCTGATCTTTAATTGTATAGATTAAATCTATATGTAACAGAAGAAAACTAACTAAAATGATTAAGAAGTGAGTACCATAAAGAACCCGAATGAACAATGGGTTCGACCCAAGGGGAGATTAGAGTTGGGCCATCTCATCAGGTAACTTATAATTTACATTTTTATTTATGAAATATTATAAACAGTAAAATTAAATTATTCAATCATAGGCTAGATTACCGGATTTTCGAACTGTTGTTAACAATTTGAATGGAATAGTTGGAGAAGATAGAGAAGAAGCTCGTTGGGTATCAGGCACAGTGAGAGATCGTGATTTATTAGTTTATTTACGTGCAGCTCGTTCCATGGCTGCATATGCTGGTATGTGTGATGGGGGATCAGCGGATGAAGGTTGTATTGCCGCATCACGCGATGATACAACAATCAATGCTTTTCACATTGTAAGTAAATATAAAATATTGTCTAATATTATAGTCTTAAAATTAAATAGAATTATAAAGTTTTTTTTTATATTAAAATAATTTTTAGCTACATGATTCTGGTTATGATCCAGGAAAAGCATTACAGGCCCTAGTTAAGTGTCCGATGCCTAAAGGAATTGATAAAAAATGGTCTGAAGAAGAAACGGTAGTACAAATTGCTTAGAGTCATTTCAAATATGTTTTAATTACTTATTGTTAATGTTTTAGAAAAAATTTGTAAAAGGATTAAGGCAATATGGTAAAAATTTCCATAGAATCAGAAAAGATTTACTACCCCACAAAGATACTGTAATTATTATAATAAAGGTTGTCTTAAATAACTGTAACATAAAACAATTTTATTTTAGCCGGAATTAGTTGAGTATTATTATTTATGGAAAAAAACACCAGGTGCAAACAATAATAGGCCACACAGACGAAGACGACAAGGATCATTAAGAAGAATCAGAACTACTAGAGCTACTAGGCCATCAAGTGCTCAAAAGGATGAAATTAGTAATTTATTTATTATTATTAGTAGTTTTAAAAAAAATTATGATCATTTAATAACAATAAATCCTATAAAAGTCATTTATATGGTTGCTTCTATATCTATTTTAATTTTGTTGGACAAAATATAACAAATTAACAATTTAAGGCATTATTATTTTTTTTAACTATTTTTTTTTTATTTTTTAAATAATTAAATTTTTCTAGGTACAGGTTCTCGCCCTTCTCCAATTTCAAAAGAACCTGGTTAGTAACTATAACCATTGAATGTTT